ATTTACAAACACTAAAAATTGAATCAAGAACACATAACTCAAACCCAGTCTGCCAAAATCCCACGCTGCCACAGACACAGAAGGCTATCAGCAGGATGGACCAGGCTAGCCTGACACAGCAGATTTCGCAATATTGAGCTGCCCACTGAGCTTTCTGTCGCGGTTTTATTAAAGTGGAAACTGGGCGGGCCAGACAGGGTGGAGGTGATGGAGTGGAGGTGAGGTGAGGGTTGGATGGGTGGTCTTGCATCAGATGCATTAATTATTGATCAGCTGAGAGCTGAGGGGAGGGTAAACATGCGCAATGAAAACACCGGTGGAGGTGAAAGTCTAATCTTCATATCTCCATCCTGGACAGCATGTGTGTCCAACTGCACCCTGTCCCAAATGAGCTAGGGGAGATTAGCGCGTCTACGTCGCCTTGCTTGATTGCAGCTGCTCTTTGCACATGGCAGACTAATCTCTGGGCCCGCGGGCTGACGGGGGTTATTATGACCAGCTCCTTGAAAAGCATAATAAAAACCTAAGTGCAACCTCTCACAGACAGACGCCTATGGTTTTTAATTATCTACTTACATGGTCCGGGTTCCGCTCGTTCCCAGGCAGTGCTGTGCGTAAAGACATTTTCTTGTCCCTGAGTGAGCTTCGCCGTCCAGGAGAGAGAAAAAAAAGTCTGGGTTGTGTTCACACCGGGTGAAAAAGAAAGAAAGAAAGAAATGCCACCCCACACTAGCCTGGCTGTATGTAGATAGAGGGGAAAAGGCTTCACTTCTCATAAAATCCTCATTGTCACAGTCCGCGAAGGCAGCACAGATCACCAAGACAGTGATCCAGCTTAAACTGATGCTTTAAAAAAACTGAGCCGGTTGGCTACATCCACTTCATGTCTTTATGGTGTTTCTGCCTCATCTGAAGAAGGAAAACCAACACGGAACCCCCCACTTAGCGCTTCGCTTTCCCCCAAATCCCCTCCCAGACGCTATCCTCTCATCTCTGTTGACACGCTGCTGGATAGTTAACAAAACAGCCCCTGTGGTCACCGGTTTACCTCTACCTGCATCGTCTTCTGCTGAGAAAGGAGGAAAGCGCGCACAGCCGGTGGAAAACACAGCAACCGATAGGGGCTGATAAGAGGAAACAGAGGCGAGGACTCAGTGTCCCTCTGGCCACCACGGTCTGAATTCAGAAGAAAAAAAAGCAGGGGACTTTGTGTGTTCCTGTTAGCTTGCTGAATAATTCTGGGGGACAGTCCACGAAGACGCAGTCAGTTTAAAAGGAAGCAGGAACCGGCTGAGGCAGCACTTCTGGACACCGGGAGACGTTCAGGGCCCGGGTAAATAAATCAATGTATTGAAGAGAGCAGGCGGACGTGCAGCCTCCCAGTGTGTGAGTCCTATGGTTGGTTCTTCCTCTCTGTCCAGTCCGCCCTTGGCTCCTCTCCTCTTTGATTTGGTTAAAAGTGCTGCAGCGGTAATTGAAGAAGTCGCCGGCGTGTGAGGGCGAAGATACGTCTCCGCCGGGTCACGAACACACCATCTGTTTTCTAAGAAAGACGAGAGAAGAGCGGACCTCTCCCCCAGTTCGCCTCCCGAAAAACAGTGACAAGAGAAAGAGTGGGGAACGTCAACGGTAGGCAGGGCTGCTGCCTTCCACGCACGCGCACACAGACACGCGCTATTCTCTCATCTGTCGAGCTGCCTTCAAGTACCCCGCAAAAAAATCTGTCTTCCGGCCATCTATCAGAGCTCGAAAAATAAAGATACTTGTAGACCCATGGTAAACTTTCCAGGATGAAGAAAAGCTATCAGCAGGATTTTAGGAAACAGCCGCTATGACTTCATGTCCTATACAGATATATATTGTGTTAATAAAGGTTGATTTAAAAAGGCCTGAAAGTGTCTTTTATCTGCATTCCTTGTAATGACCAGCAGGAGACAACCCTTACCTCAGTGAACTCTTTCATGGTGCGTTTATGGGCTCCGTCGCTATTTTCATCACATATTGCATAGAAAATTAAAAGGTTTGGTCATTCTGTGTTTCACATAGGCCCATGACTAACGACTCACTGATAGTGGAGTTTTACAATCAGGTTCACCACTTACATATCACATCCAGTTTCAAAACACTAAGATGGCAGTGGTGAAAATGCTTAGCTCTGGGCTTTATAAACCAGTGGGTGACTTCATAATGCGTAGATACATCCTTTATAGCGTCTTACAAAATGAAAAATAAATAAATAAAAGTTCCACCATTTAAGTTTGAAACAGAGCCACGCAAAACGTAAGAGAAACTCTTAAAAGTAACTCGTGAGCTAAGAAATGACATCTTTAAGTATATATAATCTAAACCTTCAAAACAAAAGAGAAGTCAAAAAGAAATGTAAAAGTTATTTAAATTCTTTAAAGCAATATAATATGATAATAACTAATAAGTGTGAGGTGGGAAACTAAGCAGGTTTCTGGCTGAAAACCTCTCTTTGTTATGGAAGCAGCAGGCAAGACATGAGGTGTTTTAAATGAAACAAGTAAAATCTTAAAATCAATTCTAAAAAAAAAAAATAGGCAGCCATTGAAGAATAATTAAAACTGCTGATGACTGTGGAAGAGTCATTATCGGTACTTCTGCTCATTTATACTAGAACATGGTGCAGCAATTCAATCAGGCAAGTCATTATGAAAAAAGAAATATTTACAGTGCTAAGCCGCTTAAAGAAATGGAGGCAGGGCTAAAAACTGAAAGTCAAAAGAATTTCAGCACACCTGTGAAACACCGCCCCCTGGTGGTGGAAGATCGGGTTAAATTTTATAGATAGTATTTACAAAAAGTACCTTTAAAAATCACATTTATTAGATAACAAGTACATTTAAAGTAAGTTTTAACATTTTAAAATCACACACAACATACAAAGGGCTGTTTTATGTGCATGGCCCACAGACACACTATCTAACTAATGACTATAAATCAATAGTGAGTGAATTTGTTGCATTTCCAAGCCTTTCAATGTGAGGCACAGAAATGTGTGTTTGTTTGGCACACGTGAGAGGACACTGGTTGATTTGTTGTTTTCTTAAATATCTAAATCTGCAGCCAGCTTCTGTGAGGCAGAGGGAAACACTTGAGAAAGGACTGTGAAAAATAAATAGGGATAAGGCAAAGTTTAATCCCTCTAGCCTGTAGTTTTCCAAAAGCCAGAGCTTTGCAGAAACTGGACCCTAAAGCTGGACCCTAAATTTTGGGGACCATGTCGAGGATACGGCTTCTAAAAAGTCATTGAACCACATTATGGTGACTGACCTCTGATAAATTGAGGTCACCATCCTATACACTAGTCCTGACCTATTATGCCTCTTTCTGGCTGTAAATGAGAGCTCGAATAATACACCAGCCTTATTTCTGTGGTTGCTTGAAATTTGAAGACACTCATCATGCAGGCTGAAATATTCACCCAGATAAGTTAAGCTCTGTGTTTCATGTGCACGCAAAGCTAAAACAAAACACCACGTTTCCAACAGCATCAGAACACAACACCCTTCCCCCCCAGTGTGCATGAAGGCACAATTACTCCATTCATACAGACATGCTTGTGTGTGTGTGTGTGTGTGTGTGTGTGTGTGAGACAGAGAGAGCAGGCTAATATTACCAGAAATCTGTTTCTGCTTTTGCTGAAAATCACAAAGGAAGTAACATTTGTTGATCATTTAAAGTATGAATTAAACAGCAGGTCTGCTCATTGTTAAAAACAAGTAAAAAATAACAATCGAAAGGAACAGCTGCTGCACGTCTCCTGTGATATTTTTGCTGTTATTGATTAACAGACAAGAACTATTAGCAAATAATACTGTTTAATATTAAACCTGAAAACATGCCCCCTTTAAGAGCTCATTGAAAGATAATCAAAACCCCAGGAAATCAAATATTATCACTTTCTATGTTATCCTCTACATAATCAAGCTGCAGTGCACTACAGCATTATATTGATTCATTACTGGTTTTGAGGGCATTTTCTACCCCACAGTGGAGGCTTTGAATTGTACTGCAGACCTTTTATTGCCATCCCTATGATGTAAAAATGTCATATATGCACAAATAGTAGACAAAACTTTGAATGGGAGATCTGAGGAGTTTTTATGCTTAGAGCCAGAGGTAAGCACGCCAGGATGCCTCCAGTATAAACCAAAGCATCTAAACCGCTTGGCTCACACATGGTCATCGCCCAGCTCACTTCTGATCACACGTAGAGAGAGAAGCCCATCTTATGCTTCTCTGCACTGAACCCCAATGATCACCAGTACACTGTTTTGTTTTTGTAAAATTTAAATTCACATGTTTTATCTCGTATCACGCTGATTCAATCAAAGCGTCTTTACCTCCACTGTGAATTGTCTCTACCGCCGCAGAGATAATGAGGAAAGATTTGCAAAGAGAGGCATCTGCAGCAGAATTCAAACCCACTTTTATGGAAGCTTGCAAATTAAATATGAAAACAGATATATGCACCAAACAATATAATTCAGGATTTAATGAGCTCATCTGCCCAGGAGGGGGATGTGTGCAGTTTAAAGCCAGTTACCGCTGTTTGTTTTTGCTAAGCAGATTTATTGCTGCCGTGTGTTCACAGAAAGAGCCCAAACACCTTTTTTTCTAAAGCTAATGCAGACTAAGTCCTGCAGCAAAGCCTGCATTCATGAAGGTTGTAAAGGGAGTACTCTTTTCTCTCCTTTAACACTTTAATCTTTACTATGACCTTTGTGTTGTAGAGAGTGTGGATGGGATTGGACTGAGAGTATTATTTTTTTGTTGATGTTTGTACACTTTAATCGGGAGTTTTCTGAATAGTCTAATAGAAGCGCCGACTAAAGCTTGTAGTGTAATTTGTCATTCTTTTGAACACTCCTCCATTAAACTACATTAGTTATTACTCTAATTTAAGACAGTTAAGACTATCTTTATCTCCCAAGGTGTCACGTGTTTACATTTTGAATAAGAAGCACAAACCTTACCTGGACTGATCTGGACCTGTTGGAGCGAACCCAGGGCCTCATCCTTCCTCAGCACTGCTCCTTCCTGGTTGAGACTGAGCACTTCAGTGGCCTGAGCCCCTGCAGACTGAGGGCCTGATACTGTAAGGGAAAGGTGAGCAGCACACAGGCACATTCACTGGCATCCCTCGGAGAATAGAGGCAGAGCTGCTGCTGCTGCTGCTGCTGCTGCAACTGCACGCGAATCGATGCTGGAAAGAACAACCAGAGCAGCAGTCCGTATTTCCATGGAGAGCCTGTACTCAACGCAATGTCACAGAGTATACCGGCAGCATTAACGTTACTGCTCGGTCAGCTGTGCATAAACCTATTAGAGCAAAAAAAGACAAACACAAAAGTGAATGTGGAATTGTCGATATATCTAATGGGCTACGGAAAAGGTGGCGGTGGCGGTGGGTGAATGTGTTTCTGTGTGGCGTGATGGGCTTGTTTGTGTGTGTGGATAACAGCTAGTGATTTGTGCTGCTCTGAGCGCGTCAGCAGGGATCAATACAGGCGGTGACTCATGCTCGCCCCGAGGGCATCAGAACTATCACAACATCACTCATAACCCAATTGTTTCTCAGTCTCTAACCTACTTCTTATCTTAATCCAAAAACCAGTAGATAACCCCCAAGATTTGGAGTCTAGGGTCTAAAGCAAGAAAAAAGACAAAAGGACAAGATAGAAGCACAGTTCTGCAGTCATTCAGGCTTCTTTTTGATCCCAAAGGTTAAAGGTGAAATTTCTCTTTATGTGATCACGGTACGATGTCCTTTGAGCAGCACTTTGCAGGAATTCCTTCTGCAGGTGAAGATTTATGTGCTTCTTCTTTTTCTTCTTTCGCCTGCTTCCTTTAGGGCAGGGGTGGGCAACTCCAGGCCTCGAGGGCCGGTGTCCCTGCAGGTTTTAGGTTTTTTGAACCAACGCAGCTGATTTAAATGGCTAAATTAGCTCCTCAACATGTCCTGGAGTTCTCCAGAGGCCTGGTAATCAACTATCATGTGATTCAGGTGTGTTGACCCAAGGTGAGATCTAAAACCTGCAGGACACCGGCCCTCGAGGCCTGGAATTGCCCACCCCTGATTTAGGGGTTGTCACAGTGGATTATCTATGAACCTCCTCTGAGGTCTTCCTCTTTTCCTCCTGCGATGCAGCTTCATCTTCAACATCCTTTGTCCCATAAATCTCCAACCTTCCTCTGCACATGTCAAAACCATTTCAGCCTCACCTCTCTAACCTTGTCTCCAGCCTCTCAGCCTGAACTGTCCCTCTGATGTACTCATTTCTAATCCCGTCCCGCTCACTCCCAATAAAACATTTTCATCTGCAGCTCGACCTCCTGTGTTTTTGTCTCCAAATCACACATCATAGCAGGTCTCATTACCATCTTCTCCTTCACTCTTGCTGCTATCCTTCTGTCACAAATCACCCCTAACACTCGTCTCCACCCTCTTGATCACCTCTCTTGTGCATTGCTCATTGCTTTGGATGGTTGACTCCAGGTATTTAAACTCCTTTAACTTTCTACACTATCTGTGCTCCTTGCATCTCCAACTTCTTCTCAGTCACACATGTATTCTGTCCTGCTTCTACCGACTTTCATTTCTCCTCCCCTCAGAGCATACCTCCACCTCCCCAAACTCTCTTCCACCTGCTCCCTACTCTCACTAAAATGTGATCTGCAAACATCATAGTCAGGACTTTTCTAAGATTAAAAATCAATCAACCAACCAACCAACCAACCAACCAATCAATCAATCAATCAATCAATCAAGTCCAAATTATCTCTTTGAACTTTAAGGCAAAACAGCGTGGAGTTCTTTCTGCAAACCTAAGAGTACAAACATACACTTTTAAATTAGTGAAAACTGTTTCACTAAATTTGATTATTGTTTTAAAAGAACCACTAAAATTCACATTGTAACATATAAAATGTATATCATGTAATAACATGTATTATATAATATGTATATTATAATATAAATATTTGTTCCTGAGGTGTATTGACAGACTGTACAAAAAGAGAATATTAACAAATGATCATTAATCAGTATATTTTAAAAACTGTGAAACTGGGAGGTGTGATTTCTCCCATGTGTGATATGAAAAATATTCAGCCTTCTTTAAATCAGCGTATAAACATTACTGAATAAAAGATTTTCCTAAACCTGGAGGCGTTCAAAAAAGAGAAGAAGAACCCAAACATGAGAAGCAAAACACAAACAGACTCTCCTTATCTCCTCTTTGGTAGGAAGCCAGCTGTAACAAGTTGTTTCTCTGCCAATCCCCCACACTTCCTCCCACGATACCCTGGACTGTAATCTGGGAGGGATTACAGCCAGTCTGACCTACTGTACAGCCCTGTGGCTGCTCAGGCAGTCGGTGCAGCACGGAGCTCATAGCCAGCTGCTAAATGTGCACACTGACGTCATTTACATGGATTTAAAAGGAGGCACCGATGAAACAATGAAAAGCAGCCACCAGGGAACAACACTGGTCTTTCTCAGTAAATTCACAGAAAGAGCAGTTTTTGACAAGCAGTCACGACAGGCTGAATGTTCTTGTGTGTGAAATTATAAAAAAAACCCCAAACAAACTCTGATGATGTAGCTAATGAAGCCGGCTTTCTGCTTTCCCAGAGGGTAAAACAGTTCAAATGTGTTGTGTACTCTTTGTTTGCAATTAAACCTAAAAGTTAGAGATGAAATGCTGGAAACGTAAGAAAGAATTAAACAGAAAGACACCTCTTCACTCATTTAGGAAAATAACTGAAAATAAAGTTCCCCTCAAAAAGGCGAAAGAGAACTGAAAAGGAACTTTGGACCTACTCTGCAACACTGAGGAGAAATGAGTGCCATCCAAGGAGCTCCATGGATTTATCTGGACTATAATATAGGTTTGTAGCGCCACCTCTTGGCAAAGAGGTGAACATAACAACAACAAAGCCGAACATCTTGAGGATGGTGCAGTTTGCAGCTTTCTTCTAAGTCTCATTGCTCTGTGACGTCCTGCCAGGATAGACAGTAAAAAAAAAAAATTAAATCTATTCATGAACAGATTCGATTACAGCAGTTATAATAAGGCCCAGCAAAGCAACGTGAACATCGGCTTAAATTACTAAATATTGTAATTATTTGTGGGATACCACATCAAAATTGCAATATGCTACACACAAATCTATTCATGAACAGTTAAACTGGATCAGTGGGGGATTATTAATTAATATGACTTAAGACTAAGAGAAACAGTTTGGAATTTATCTCAGATCTTTTTTTTGGTTTAATAAAGATGAAACTTAACAGAAACCACAAAGGTGCCATTACTACACGGATCTAACAAATCCTCTGTTAGCGTTAGGCAATAATGATCTCTCAGAGATGCCACTTCATTGCTTTGAGGTGTTTATTCATCTAAAAAAAATCTGATTGAGTTCCAAACCCTTCTGTCTCCTCAACTTCCACATTTCTTCTGAAAATTATTATATATAATCAGAGATGGGCAGTAATGCGTTACTTGTATTACGTTACTGTAATCCGATTACTTTTTTCAAGTAACCAGTAAAGTAAGAGATTACTATTGCAAAAACGGTAATTAGGTTACCGTTACTTTCCCGTAGGAACGCTGCGTTACTGCGTTACTAAAACCGTGATTTTTTGCTTACGTCACTGTCTCATGACAGTGACGTAAGCAAGTGCGACGTTGGTGACAACAGCTGTGTGCAGATCAACAACGGACAATATATCGAGTGCGGGAGAGAATGTGAGCGTGCAGCGTTTAAAGCGTGGAAGTACTGACCTTACTTTGAGTTTGTAGTGTCCGTTGTGCGTGGGAAGAAAACTTCTTTTTACAGCGAAAAAACCCCTAAACTTCCAAGCAAGCACTCGGTGGAAGTTTATTTTATGTGCTGGAATGTGCAGAAAATAGGTTTAAATGTTAAACTAATTTCTTCCAGTCAGAGAATGTTGCATATAATTAAATTTTTGCTTGATGCATAAAGTTAAAAGATTAAAACTAATAAAACAAGTTTTAAAAAGAGACTTTTCCATTTGATTAAATTTTGTATGATGGATTATGCAGAAAAAGTAGAATTGGGCTGAAAAGTCTATTGTTTTATTCCCTATTCAGGTTGTAAATCGTGTAACAGGATTTCTTTTTTGGGGAAGTAATCAGTAATTAGTCAAGTAACTTGACCAACACTGTTTATAATTATTTTCTTTGCATTTCTGCTCTTGACTTGAAAGTATTCTTGTTCAAAGGCAACAGAAACTTTAAATTGAATACATCTTCCAGTAAGGATGTGAAGGCGACACATGTGTTCCTGTAAAACTGTTGTTTCTGATCAAAAACAAACATATTTCAAGCTCTTTAATCATTAAGAAAGACAAAAAGGAAGCATGTTTACATTTCACTGTTTTATGAATTGAACTCAGTTACAAGGTTGAGTGAATATCCTCTCCACAAGAGAAGTTACAAATAAAGTATTTTCACAAAATAATACTTTCAGTATGTTATGTTCTCAGCACACCGGTTCTTTGTATGCATACAAGGCATTCACGTAGTGACGCTCATCATGTGAGATGATGTTAAAAAAAGAGAGAAAAAGACAGAAAAGCACTCTTTGAGTTGCACCGTTATAAATATCAGCCGCACAACGACATCAGACATCCCATTTTTACACATTATACAGCCCAGATGAGGAATATAATGTAACAGCTGCCCACAGATTACCGCTATACCGAGCACAGCATTTTTTCTAACAGGCCACAGAGTCAAACTGACTGCCTTTAGGCTTTCCATGTATATGTGCGGAAGGACGGGAAGACCCCAAACAGAGCCGCGGCGCCAAATATCAATGCCTGCAGATGCAATAGCGATCCTATTTCGACAGAACTGTAACTGTGGAAAGTAAAACCGTTCATGCTACCTCTGAAAGCACGAGCACGTGTTGCTCATAGTGAAACTTGCTTGCTTTCACACGTGTGAAAAGGTGCTGTGGTGGTGCTGCACGTGATGCGATGTAAACACAGCCCATCCTCATCGCGAGCACTATCGGTGAGTCGGTACAAATTCACACAGAAAATACTCACGTTTCAATACAAAATGTGTTCGCTAGGTAAGAAAAGCCAAACTTCAGTCTCCCTGGCAAAGAGCTTTAAATGTTACGCTGAGCTGAAGCATCTGGCCCGTCCATCTGCGAGTGAGTCGCGATAACAAGAAATCATTACCAAAGGGCAAAATGCTGCAAAATGCCTCGTCTTTAATAAGGATCAGCTGCTTCTGTGGCTCGTTAATACCAACTGTGGTGGTAAAAATCTGCTTTTGGCTTTTCAGTTACATCACGCTGACAAAAGGCAAGAAGCTGAAGATCATTTTGACCCAGGCTTTTCTTAGTTCAGTGATAAATGCACTCACATAAAGAGCTAAAACTCTCTCTGTTTAGTTTTAACGTTGGAAATGCAGTTTTGTCAGCTATTCTCACAGACAGATGCTGTAACACTCTTCACATTGTTTTTCCACCATTATAAATTCCACACCGTATCTACCTGCGTCACTTTCTTGGCAGTGACAGAAGAAAACCAGCTTTACAATCACCAAAATCGCTTTCAGTGTTAACTCAGTCCCAGCTAACCTGACATCGCCTCACAGATTAGCTTCAGACATAGAAGCACTTGTGGTCTTTCAGGTTCCTCAGGTAGGAGAAACTCTTGCCGCACTTGTCGCACATGAACTGCTTCTCCCCGGTGTGAATCTGCTGGTGCGCCTTCAGGCTGTTGCCCTGGTTGAAGCTCCGCCCACACGTGTCACAGCTGAACGGCTTCTCCCCCGTGTGGATGCGCTGGTGTCGGTTCAAGTTGCCGGTGTTGCTAAAGCATTTCCCGCAGGTGTCGCAGCTGAAAGGTTTCTCTCCTGTGTGGACCACCTTTGGCAGAGAACATTGAAACAACATGTTTAAATCTTTACTAAATTACCCACAAGGTTACTTCCACTGCAGCAGACGTGTTCAGCTACAGCTGCTGTAGAAGGAGGGAAACTGCGACACATCTACACAAGGTGTACTCATAAACATACACATGAAGTTAATCTCAGACCATTGCTTAATTCTAACAATCATCTGTCACTTTACAGGGTTACTCAGGGTGTAGCATTTCAATCTGGGCCTCTAACCACACCTTGATTACTGGACCACAAAGCAAAGAGTTATTTTTTATCTCCATCATAACTAA